GCCGCATTTGCTCCGGGGCGAGGGCCAGGGCAGGAAGTGTCTGAATCGCAGCTCTGTTACTCTCGGCCACGTGTTTCCCTGATGCCTTGGGCCAGGCCAGCCGAAGGCTGCAGGGAGACAGTTCTTAAAGGGACAGCAGCCGTTAGGTCTTCACCTTCCAGGGTGCAGGGGGTGCATATGACAGAGAGAGAATGTGTGTGTGTGTGTGATGTTCTCCCCTTGTACCCAGAGTTATCCTCCAACCCCCTGAAACTTTTCCACCATTACCCCTTCTTTCTGTCCCCTCCTCTGCCTTCTGGTCAGGTGGGAGGCAACACCCCAGTGCAGTTGTTAGTAAGGACAACAAACCCCAGTGCATACTCCCTAGAGTTTTCCATATGAGAAGGGCAATGTGACCCCAGGCCTCCAGGCCTTTCCATTCTACTTCTCTAAATCTCTGCCTCTTCCCTCTCTAATACTGGTTTGCGCAACCCCTGTGCTCCACCCCCAAGGTAGCACTCTGCGGCTCAGCATATGGATGTTCCCCCATCCCAGAGGTGGCTGAATCTCAGCACCAGGCAAGGAATCCCTGTATAAACAGTCCCATGCCCCACCCCAAAGGTGGCTGAATTTCAGCACCTTGCCCCAGGGAGGGAACAATGCTTGGATAAACAGGGCCTGTGCCCCACCAGCATGAGGAGTAATTACTTGACTCCCCCTCTCCCTCCCCCAACTAGGTATTTTTGGGCCTGGAGCAAAATATTAATTATGCTTAGCCTAGGCTAGCAGCTTGTGCAGGTTATTTTTACTTATTGTCTTTGCACCGGATTATGATGCATTGGGGTAAGTGTTCCACTTGCCCTGCCCTTGTTAGGGCCCTGCCCAGCCCCCATTGGCTCTACCCTAGTCCTGCTCCACATAACCTAGATCAAAGCTGCCCCCTTCCTTCAAACTTCATCTGAGCCAGATTCCTTAATATCTCCCAGACTGTAGGGAGCTGCTCCTCCCACGTTGCCACAGTGGGACAGGAAGGATGGAGGCAGGTAGAGACAGAGATGAGGGGGTAGATCCCCTGGCTGTGGAGACAGTGCCATGGAGCAGGGGCAGCCTCCTCCCTCCTCTCCTTTGTTATGGACATACAGACACTCCCCCTTCCGCATTGTGAAACAGGAGGACAAATGGGCATGCTCTGGAGGGGCCAGACAGGTAGATATACTGCGGGGAGGGAGCTGTGTAGCGTTGGATGGAGGACAAACACGCCTGCCCCTGAGGGGGTGACGGACCGTCAGGCAGATACAGGGCGCCGGGGGTCGGGACGCGGACTGACAGACAGACGCTGGAGTGGGTCGGGATCGCAGCTTTGACCTGTCTTCTCCTCTAGTGAGGAGGGTGTTGACGGACAGAAGGACGAGGGGAGGAGACAGACAGACAGACACGCGGCCCCTTTAAGGGGGCGGGGAGGGGGCGGGAGGGGGAGGCGAGGAGAG